TTTGAGATGGAGTTTCGCTCTTGTTACCCAGGCTGGAATGCAATGGCGCAATCTTGGCTCACTGCAACCTCTGCCTCCTGGGTTCAGGCAATTCTTTTGCCTCAGCCTCCTGAGTAGCTGGGATTACAGGCACGCACCATGCCCAGCTAATTTTTGTATTTTTAGTAGAGACGGGGTTTCACCGTGTTGACCAGGATGGTCTCGATCTCTTGACCTCGTGATCCACCCGCCTCGGCCTCCCAAAGTGCTGGGATTACAGGTGTGAGCCACCGCGCCCGGCTACTTTTGCTTTTTTTAAATTTTATTTTTATTGTATATATTTTAAATGTATAACTTGATTTTTAAATGAGGAAGCAGACTCAGCTAATAAGTGGTTGAGCCAGCGTTTGGTTCAGATATGTCTAACTTCAAAACTTTTATGTGCTTAAACTCTATATTACACCACCTCCCCTTTAAGCTCATGTACTATTTATTTATTTAGAGAGTGAGTCTCGCTCTGTCATCCAGGCTGGAGTGCAGTGGCAAAATCTCAGCTCACTGCCTCCCAGATTCAAGCAATTCCTCTGCCTCACCATCCTGAGTAGCTGGGATTACAGGCATATGCCACCACACCTGGCTAATTTCTGTATTTTTAGTAGAGACTGGGTTTTGCCATGTTGGTCAGGCTGGTCTTGAACTCCTGACCTCAGGTGATCCACCCACCTCAGCCTCCCAAAGTGCTGGGATTACAGGCGTGAGCCACCACACCCAGCCTAAACTCATGTACTTTAGCTCATGCTCATCCTCCTTTAGTGCCAAACACAGTTTTACCAAACTTGGATACCATATCCTAGCTCAGAGTCAGACTAAGCTCTAAGTCAGAAGGCTGGGAGTTGAAGAATTAAGTGTCTCAAGAAGTGATAGATGGCAAGACAACCCTTAAAAGCAGAGCCTTCTCAGGCACAATACCCTTTACTCCTTAGTAACTGCTGAGCTCCATAAGAAAAGACAGTCATTGATGTTTGTAATTATTGAATCATAGATTTTTAGACATGACAGCATTAAAAGAGGCAAAACTGTATTTCATATTTTCTGCTTCAGGAAGCAGGTAATATGTGATACAGAAAGACTTGTCTTGGGTTTTCCGCAGAGCAGAGCCTGAGACAAGGATTTACATGCAGGTATGATTTTTTGGAGGTGACCCCAAGAAGCAGGAGGGAGAGTGGGAAGAATGAAACAGAGCAGGAAGAAAGGATATGTTAACGTTATTAAAGTTGGCCTTAAGGGCAAAGGGAGCTGAACTCTACCAGCACCTCCTAAGAAGCCTGAAGAACAGCATCCAGAATTGTCCCGTGGATCTGCTGGCTCCTGCCTCGACTCGGTTGCAGGTTGACCCTGGGTGCTGTGCCTGCATGGCTGAGTAGGCTCCTGCATCAGTATTGGAGAAAGCCTTGGTACAGAAAGATGGGCAGTGCGTGCTGGGGCAGGGGGTCTACTACCCACAAGGTGGGCATGCACTTGTACTATACTGTCCCCACAGCTGTGCTTGAAATCACAGTGACCCAAGCAGATGCATCACAGGACATCAGAAGACCTGCTAAAAACATTTCCATCCAAAACGCTGCCAAAGAATGCTTTGGTGCTTAGTGAGCTTCAGCTCTCTAGAGAAGGAGGCAATATATAGACCCTCACATGCCAAAACTCTGCTAAATAGATGAGGTGTTGTGATATCATAGTTTTCTGTTTTAGGTAAAGCACCCTCAGTGATTTCTGTCCCTTGCTGTAGGAATCGGTGGAGGAATTATCCATCAGCACGAATTGATCCATGGAAGCTCCTTCTGTGCTGCAGAACTGGGCCACCTTGTTGTGTCTCTGGATGGGCCTGATTGTTCCTGTGGAAGCCATGGGTGCATTGAAGCATATGCCTCCGGAATGGCCTTGCAGAGGGAGGCAAAAAAGCTCCATGATGGTTGGTGTCCCTCTCTCAAGGAATTAAGTAACCAAATGGTAGACATGTACTTCAAAGTGGAAATTCCAAAGAGAGTTGAACCCTGAAGCCAGAAGTTTCCCCCTTTTCACTTCTTAGAGAAAGAGCAGGACTCCCTTGCACTAAAACAGCACAGTCTCCTTGGTCCTGATCCATATTGGCACTCTTCCTCCCAAGGGGTGGAGGTGGACAGAGGTCTAGAGTTCCAAGACAGCAGGGAAGATTCCCCTCATTTTTGTTTTCTCAGCCACTAGCACAGAGTGGGTACTTAATACACATTTTAATGAAGAAATAAATGGACAAAACATGTTATACTTTAACTCTGAAAGATCTATTCCAATGAAAACTGTTTCTGGACACGTTATGAAAGTCAGGATGGTTTCTAGTCTAACTCAAGAGCATTTACTATCATTATTGAATGCCCAGTGCAATGAGCATGATGGCTGAGGAATGTAGATACATGTAAGAGGGAAACCAGAATCCACTTTGTGTCCTCTGCATGCAGGGAAGGGCGTGCCAGGGTGCCATCCTGCAGGGTGAGAGGTGGAAGGTAAGTGGAATCAGCCAGGCAGCTTTGGAAGGCCAAGGGAGCTTGCAGGCAGGGAAACAGTCGTGGTGGTACTTAAGGGCAATTCAGGGTGTCATCATGTAGTGTGAGGAAGCAGGACCAGTCGGTGGTGGAAAAGCCACTAAAACATTTTAGGGAAAAGACATAGTCAGATCTGAATTTTAGATTCTTCACTAAACTCTAACTTTTTATTTCTGGGGGAGAAAAGGGTAGCTGAATGGAGATGGTTTTAAGTGGGACAGTTCTAGGGTGACTTCCAGTTTTCTGGTTGGACAACTCAGGATTAGGAATTGAAGAGGAGGGACAGGTTTGGCAGACGATGGTTGGTGGCTGTAGGACATCCAGGTGGAAATGTCTAGGAGGTAGTGGGGTACGAGGTCTGTTGCTCAGGAGAGATAGATGACTGGGTTAGAGGGGTGATCTGGGATTGTCGGCACTGAGGTGGTGGTTAAACCCATGACAGAGCCAGGGAGTGAGGTGAAAGACAGAATCAAGGATAGACTCCTGAGAAACATTAGCATGTGAGGGGCAGGGAGAGAGATGGGAGGAACACCAGGAAAGGGAATTGTCACAGACGCCAAAAAAGGAGAGTGTTTGGACGAGAAGCAGTTAGCAATGTCAAGGGCTGACATGAGTAAGAAGAAATTAGAAAAGTTCATTGGCTCTGGCCACCAGGATATCATTTGAAGCCTTAAACCAGGGTTTATTTTTCAACTTTGTTTTCATTATCACCCTCCTAAGGAGCCCCTTTAGATGTTTTTTTTTTTCCCTGATGAATCCTCCGCATGCAACTTTAGCACCGCAGCTGTACTGCTTACCTGTTTATGTTTGTGCACTGTATGTGCGGTATATCTGTGCTTCATACATAAAGAGTATAGCATTTTTGGCCCCCAAAACCAATCTGTGAGCATATGCTGACGTAAAGGAGATGGGGAATGGAGGCCGAGAGCGTAGGCGAGAAGGGTATAGAGCGCTACAGCAGGGTTCTGAAGGGGTGGGAAGAGATGAGCCGCAAAGCCAGGCAGAGGGCCCACAAGAGGGCACGACGAGTGGAGATGATGGGTGGATGGGATGGGGAGCAAAAAGGAAGGGGATCACTGCCTGGTGGTGCCCCCTTTGAGAGAGGTAAGAAGTATGCACATCTGTTGGCAGTTGGGGGATAGAAGGACCGGGGAGCTGGTGAAGGTACAGAAGAGAGCAGTCCGGGAGAATGGGTGAGAGCTGTGAGGGCCCAGGGTAGATAGGAGACCACCAGTTGAAGTCTAGGTAACAGCTTGCACAGCTGGGGATTTTCTTCTTTCAGGGTCCAGGTATCCTAGCAGATTAAGAGGCAGATTGATCTGAGTTGGTAAGAACTACAGATAACCACAGAAAGACCTACTGCTTATTGAGCATTTACTCCGGCCAGCACTTAACTAAGTACTTTATGTCCATAATCTCATTTAATCCCTAAAATAACCCTGCCAGGGTAGGTATTATTGCCCTCATCTTCTAGGAAGGAGGAACATGTAGAGGTGAGGTGACACACATACACAGGATTGTGCAGCTGGGAGTGGCAGAGCTGGCACTGACCCCAGGCCTGTTCCTTGGCCGCTATGCCTTGCTGCCATAGAACGTGTGGCCCTGGCAGGTGGTGCAGCATTGCGTCTGGGATGAGTAAGGAAGGAGTGAATGTGGGAGGAGGGTGATAATTTGGAGAAAAGAACACTTCAAAGGCCGTCTGCTACTGGAAGTGAGAAGTGAGGGAGCCAGAGGGGTAGGAGGCTGTCAGACTTGAGGTTTTTCCAGGAACATAGGCTCTGGGTTATGTCCAACCAACTAGCAAGAGAGTAGCAAAGGCTTCAGGGGCAGTGTATAGAGATGTTTGTGAATGATAAGCTTTGCAACTGTGAAAAGAAAACTGTCTTCCCACATAGGAGATTGCTGCCCACAGGCCCAGTAGTTAGTCTGGCCTCCAAACAGCTCATTAGTGACTGCTTTTCCTTCTCTCTCTGCTCAGAGGACCTGCTGTTGGTGGAAGGGATGTCAGTGCCAAAAGATGAGGCAGTGGGTGCACTCCATCTCATCCAAGCTGCCAAACTTGGCAATGCGAAGGCCCAGAGCATCCTAAGAACAGGTGAGTATGTGGCTGCAGGTGGCTTGCTGCAGAGGGTGGGGTCAGACATCATATGGCCCCGCCGGGCCCAGAAGAGACCCTGCTTCCCCTAGGGACAGGTGCTTTGCAGTGTCTGTTCAGAGGTATTTTTCCTACTCACTCAGAGGTAAAAAGGGACTTGCATTCAAGGTATTTGGCAGCATTGCCTTTTTAAGCAGGTGTTTGGTTTGGTTTGACAACTCTAAAAATGCTCCTTGTTCATTTACAGGAAATTTAGAGAAATATAGGACAGTTGTAAGAAAAAATATCACTTAAGAGTTTTCCTGTTTGGAAGATATCGACTATGAACATTTCCTTGGAGTCTTTCTATTCATTTTTCTGCCTAGCGGATCATGTGATACACCCTGGTTTCTCCACTTTAGGGTGTCACATGATCATTTTCTCATATTAAGAATCAACCGTGAACTGCTTTTAAAACACTGCTTCCCACTGCATGCTGTGATGTTCTTTACAATTTCTGGCTGCTGGTTCTTTTCTGCCTTCCTCTTTTGTATTTTGATTTTGCCTTCTCTCAGAAACCCATTTTAATTTTTGTCTCCCTGTAGCTGGAACAGCTTTGGGTCTTGGGGTTGTGAACATCCTCCATACTATGAATCCCTCCCTTGTGATCCTCTCTGGAGTCCTGGCCAGTCACTATATCCACATTGTCAAAGACGTCATTCGCCAACAGGCCTTATCCTCCGTGCAGGACGTGGACGTAGTGGTTTCGGATTTGGTTGACCCCGCCCTGCTGGGTGCTGCCAGCATGGTTCTGGACTACACAACTCGCAGGATCTACTAGACCTCCAGGAACGGACATGGACTGAGACTCAAGAGCTCTGGAGTGGAATCAAATTCTTGTTTTTAGGATACCATTTCTTTACAAGCAAATCTGGTATTGAACAGCAGGTGACTTTAGCAGAGAAATGTTTTTGCTTTTGGTCTCCTCTTCCAGAGTCACCTTTCCCAACTCCTATTTTTGTAGATGCTATTCTTTCTGATGTTTTCCTAGGAGGGGTCATTTTAGCTCAAACCCTGTAAGTTCCAGTCACAATTTTCTGTGCCAAACTAGCTATAATAATGGACAAGGAAGCCTTAGAACTCTGCTTACTTATGAATTATTATCACTGAGACCTGCAGTCCTTGCCTGGGATGTCACTTCATCCTGAAGTTTGCATTAATAATCCTTCCTGCCAGGCACGGTAGCTCACGCTGGTAATCCCAGCACTTTGGGAGGCCGAGACGGGTGGATCACCTGAGGTCAGGAGTTCAAGACCAGCCTGGCCAACATGATGAAACCCCATCCCTACTAAAATACAAAAATTAGCCGGGGATGGTAGCATGCACCTGTAGTCCCGGCTATTCAGGAGGCTGAGGCAGGAGAACTGCTGGAGGCCAGGAGGCAGAGGTTACAGTGAGCTGAGATCACGCCACTGCACTCCAGCCTGGGTGACAGAGCGAGACTCCGTCTTAACAAAAAAAAAAAAAAAATTCTTCGTCCTCGAACCCCAAACTGAGATCACAGAAAGTGATCTAGTCAGGGAACAGAAGAAAATCTTACCAGGAAGGGCTTAAGTACACTTTTTTAAAAACAGCTTTATTGGTGTTTTTTTTAAAGCCTACAATTTGGTAAGCCTTGACATATGTATACCTGTGAAAGCATTACCACAATCAAGACATCATCAGACATATCTATCAATCCCCCAATCTCAGATATTCCCCCTGTAACCCTGGATAGCATTTGTTGAAAGATGTTATTACTCTAGCTGAACTTATGAGACTTTAGACCAGGGATCTAAATTACAGTGGCCTCAGTGACCTTGTCCTTATCTTCTTAGGACAGCTGAGAAGCCACTGGGACTTAGAGCCTTTAAAAGGAGATTTACTATCCCAAAAGGATCTTCGCTACTGACCAGCAGACTATTCTCCCTTCAATAGCCTTTCATACTGTGTTGAAGAAGACCCTAGGGTGTTTATTAAAGCCGTGTTTGTATGAGTTTTACCTAGAGCCCAGAGCCATGAATCAGGATTCTGGGTACATAATTCGTGCTTTCATTGGTATCAAAATACAAAAGCCAAAGTTCTGGCTATGAATTGTAACTTGGAAGAAATACTAACTGCCACCACCCATTAAGTGCCTACTGTGAGTCAGGCTTTGAACTAGGTGTTTCATATACATTATCCTAAATTCTCTCAACATCTGAGGTAGGTGTTTTAATTTTTATTTTATAGAACTTAGTGTGTTTAACTATTAAGCTATGGGGCTAGAAAGAGGGTTTGATCTCGGGTCCCTCTGTGCTTTTTCTGCTAAGCCACACAACCTCCCATTTCAAAAACACTTTTGAAATGCTACTATATTCTAATTCACTCCAGGCCACCAAAAGCTTTAATACTAATATCTGATTTGTAAATGACTTAATGTATCCTTGACCCTATGTCTCAGCTGTGAATTTAATCAAATATTCCTCTCGGCTATGAAATTTTGCCAGTACAGTATTTGGTCTAGTGACAGATATTTTGTTTGTTTTTGAGAGAGCGTCTTGCTCTGTCGTCCAGGCTGGAGTGCAGTGGCATCTCAGCTAACTGCAACCTCTGCCCTCCGAGTTCAAGTGATTCTCGTGCCTCAACCTCCCAAGTAGCTGGGATTACAGCGCATGCACCATGCCTGGCTGATTTTTTTTTGTATTTTCAGTAGAGACAGAGTTTCACCATGTTGGCCAGGCTGATCTTGAACTCCTGACCTCAGGTGATCGCCTGCCTCGGTCTCCCAAAATGCTGGGATTACAGGTGTGAGCCACTGTGCCCGGCCCTACTGATAGGTTTTTAGGGGTAATTTTAGATTATCTACAAAAGCATATGCATATATTTTTCAGATTGTTTTTTATTTTGGGAAAATGAAGGTTTCTATAACATATTGTTTCGATGTTCAAATAAACTGAAGGAATCAATATCGCATTTGAACTATATCCTTCCTAGTGGGTTAGTGTGAAAAAGAGGTTTGGCTGATTCCTAGAACTCTATCGGCCCTGCAGTAATCTCTAGGGCCTGATTATTGTTCAAACATTCCATGGTGATTCCTGGGAAGGAAGCTTGGCTGCTCAGTTTCTGAGTCTGGGGTGAGATGATGTTCCATGAAGGAACATCTGTTCTTTGGTATAATCTCTTTTGGTGAAATCTGCTCTGTACATCAGACAGTTGCATTGCTACCAAGTTTCCTACCAAATATTTGAAAGGATGGTATTTAATCTAAAACCAAATATTAGTTTTTATTAAATTCATGGAAAGTCTAATATATTCCAACATAAATTATTACATGTGGTTAAGTGCATGTTAATTTATTTTGATGTAAATATTTTTGTTACTGTTCTGAGCCAAATTCTAAAGAAAAAATAAATACATTTCCTTGTTGAAATCTTGTGTTCTGTTTTGTTCGTAACTCACTAGCCAAAAGCATTTTCCTTCCCAGAAAAGATTTAAAGTTGTTGCACTGCTTACATTTTAAAGGTTATATAACTTCCTTAAGGCATCTAATATCTTTGCTTTCTTAACAACAACAACAAAAAAGTCTATTAATAGAAAGCATGGCTGGGCATGCTTTCTAAGCTTAGCACTTTGGGAGGCTGAGGCAGAAGGATTGCTTAAGCCCTGGAGTTTGAGATCAGCCTGGGCAACATGCCAAAACCCTGTCTCTAAAAAATAATACAAAACAATTAGCCAGGTGTGGTGGCTAGTGCCTGTAGTCCCAGCTACTCAGGAGGCTGAGGTGGGAGGATCACCTGAGCCCAGGAAGTTGAGGCTGCGGTAAGCCATGATCATCCCATTGCACTCCAGCCTGGGTGACAGAGTGAGACTGTCTCAAAAACAACAAAAACAAAACATTATTGTACATAACATTGAAAATTTGGCTTTAAGGGCAAAGTAGTGCCAAGAAAGAGGTTCGAAACTAAGTGTTGAGCACTCACTGAGTTCCTGGACCCGCTCTCTCCTTTTATAAGGCCCCATGTGGGTCTCATACAGGCATTAGAAACAACCCCAAGTTACTATTGCTGTTTAACAACCTCAAAACTGAAGAGCTTAAAACAACAGTAATTGTTTCATATCACAGTTCCTGTGGGTCAGGATTCGGGAAAGGCTCAGACTTGACAGTTGTAGCTCTGTGTCCTGCACTTGTTGTCAGCTGGAATAGCAGGAGGCTGGCTGGCCAGGCATCTCCCACTGTGTGTGGTTACAGGGTCTCAGATGGCCTCTGTGTGAGCTAGTTTGGGCTTCCTCACCACATGGGTAGCTTCAGAGTGGTAGTTTTTTACGTGGTGGCTCAGGGCCACCAGCTAGTTGTTCCAACAAACCAGCCATAAGCAGCACTGCCTTTTATGACCTAGCCTTGGAAGTCATCCCAGCATCACTTTTGTCACATTATTCAGTCACCTCTCCATCTGAAGAATGGCACAGATTTTGCTGACATTTAAAATTGCCACTTCCCACCTCAAGAAACCCGTCTGGTGTGGGAGGCAAGACTAATCCAGACGATGGCACCAAGACTACCAAAGAGTAAGCTGCCCCAGGTAGATGGCTATGGGAGATCAGGGGAAGGGAAGTGGCCTTTGAACTAGTTCTTAAAATTGGATTCTGACATTTGGAATGGCATTAGCAGTTCCCAGTAGGAACGAAAGCCTGCGAACAGTGATTGTTTGATTGTAATCAGATTTGACTGGAGGAGGAGGAATAAGCAGAGACCAGAAATGTGGGCCAGGTCAAGGAAAGCTCAACTAAGAAGCTTGGAAAGCGGGGAGATAGCAAGAAAAGTAATGGAAGCTCCTTCCAACCAAAAGTAATTAATATGAAGGAGATAGTGGCCTTTCCTTCTTGGCAACGACAACACCTAACCCCCATCCTGAGCATGGCATTACAGTTTGCCTCAATCTCCAGTTTGGAAATACCAGGCAGTTAAAAGCAGATTACTGAAATATGGCTTTAATAATTGCTTGGAACATCACCCAAAATAAGCCAGGTACTATGCCGGGTTCTGAAAGCAGATAATGAACTTACTGGTGTCTGAACAAAGCATGGGCTCCCAGAAACACCTGTGGTATAGATCAGCATGGTCCAATGCAGCTTTCTGTGACCATGGACATGTTCTATCATCTGTGCTATCAATGCAACTACTGAGCACATGAATTGTGAGTAGGACCAGAAATGTATTTTTAGTTCATTTAAATAGCTACATGTGCCTGGTGAATACTGCATTGGACAGCACAGGTCTAGATGAAGGATTTTACAAGAGCAATAAGAACCGAGCGCTTGGGATGACACAGAACCCAACATGTCCTATGGGACTCAACAGTAAGGGGACTTGCCACACATGAATGCCATCCTGACTCAGGACTGGCCAGAACCAAAGGAGTCAAGGTCTTACTAGAGGCTATGTGCCCCAGACAGACTCCTGCTGAAATATACTATCCAAGACCCTAAACGGAGGGACACTGGGAAGCAAGAGCCCATCTGGGAGAAAATGTCTAGGTTGGTGAAAGGATTCACAGCTGTGTCTTAGCCAGATGAAGTGGGGGTTAACCTTTAGCCATGCAACTCCATTCTCAAATGAAAATGTCCACAGGATCCCACTCTAGATCCCGGAGCAATCTCAGTTCAAGGCAAGGCGGTGTGCCCAGTGGCTGTGCTTCCTCAGTGCTAGAAATGATAAAAAGGAAATTCCTCAACCCTTCCAGCCTCACTCCAAACTACAACACATCTTGAGAATAAAGAAGCTTCACATAATATAGTTTGAAACAGAAATTTATTCTCAGAATAATGCACAAAAGCACAGGCTGAGGCTACTGTTGGGCTTTCCTCCCTTTCTCTTCCTCCCCCTCCTCTGAATGCCAGGGAGAACATAGTTGAAGGAAACATGCAATCACAAACAATGATCAATTCTAAAGACAAAAAGGTTTGGTCCAAAAGAACTCAACATAATTAATCCAATGACTGTGAAGAGCTTCACTGAGAAGGATTAAGATATTGCAGATGTAGTGTTTCCACAGGGTGGCTCTTCAGTGCACCAGCGGGGCCTGCTTGAGGGAGATGAGCACTGAGCGCATGCGGGAGACGTCTTTGGCCTGCTTGCTGGACTTGGGGTTAAAGTCACACAGCCGGGCCACCCGTTCCCACTCAGTGCCTGGGGACGACTCGTCAATGTCATTTACAAAGGCTTCTTCTGCTGCCCTGGAAGCAACAACAAAATATGTTGGTTTATGTAGAACTCCCTTTGAACAACCTGGTGGCTGCCTTGCTACACAAGCAACTGCCTATTTGTCCCTTTCTTAATGGCATTCTGGCTTTCCCAAGATAATGGCCCCTGGCCCAGGTCAGACTCGGGTAGGCACGTGGCTGGCTCTCCTAGGCACAGAGTGCTGTAAAATGTTGGAATACAGGTGTTTGGTTCAGGGCTCACTATGTCTCTGTCTGGCTGTTTCTGCTCCTGTGGAGCATTAATAAAAAGTCCTTAGCCAGCTACACACACTGCTTTTATTAACAAGAACAAAGCAGCAGGCTGATCAAGAACTTAAGTACTTTACACTGGGCTGTACGGGAATTTCAAGGAAATTTAGAGACTTCTAAAAAGCCCATAGATCATTGCACAACAGCCTCTAGATTTATTCCTAAGGCTGGAGAGAAACGGGGCAGATCAAAAGGAATTCAAGACAAAGCTCCCATGCTAGCAGGCACTAGAGACTAAAGCCATTCTGGAAGGGGGTTTGTTAGGACATTCTCCAGTTCAGCCAAAAGTTTGCCATTTTCCCTCCAGCCGGGTGCCTTGGGGCCACTCAGGGCACACTGGCAGGAGAGCCAACGTGAGCTGCTTTCTGGCAGGATGCTGCCCCAACATTCTTTCATATCAAGGTCAGCCCACCCCCAGTTCAGAATTAACTGGTGGGAGCTACAGCCGGAAAGGACAGCGGTAAGACACACTATATTCATCTACTCCAACAAGCATCACGGGCAAAGCAAAAGCAATGGAGATGACTGGTCTGGGGGGACGGAAGGGTGGCACTATCACAGGGATGGCTGTGGCAAACACTGCTGAAGCCCAGAGCCACTACAACACTGCGACTTCATGGCACACACAGTTAGGGGCAGTGAGAAACGTTTACTTAACTGTTCTAGGCTGTAGCAAGGATGGTTTATGTTTGTGCTTAAAGGTGAAGAGAAGAAAAGAAACGAGAGAAACTTTAGGTCAGATATAGAAAATGAGAATGAGCTCAATGCAGATGGTCAGTAAGCTGGACATGCCCTTGCCACTCTATCTGTGCTTGGGGACGTGCAGCTGGCTTTGCTGGCCACCCAGCTGCCCAGCAAAACCAGACTCGACCTTTCCAGTCTCCATTTCTACTCCAGAGAGAATGTGCAGAAATCAAATCAAACACCACCTGTAAGTCCAGCATTTCACAAGTCTCACTACAAATGCATCTGGGGGCCCAGGAAACCCAGTTCTGTCTTCTAAGGGGATGAACATCTCAAGGTCATAGGCCCTGGGAGGCTCTACAGACCTCAGCTCATGGCCCACTTTCAACAGGTTCCTCTCCTCTTCCATTCCACCCTTACTTCCCTTATAAAGCTAGCCCTAATTTTTACGGAGGAGACAATGAGAACTGTTTCCAATTCTTCAGTAATATTGCTTTGATAACAAGAATCCTTAAAAAAAAAAAAAAAAAAAAAACTAAAAAAACAGCTTCTCCAGAGAAGATGCAGGTTTCTTTTAGATGGGGCTGGGGGAGAAGCCAAGTGGCCTGTATCAGACATTTTAACTATCTTGACCTCAAAGTTGGGGGCTTCCCTGTGCTAGGAGACAGGGCATCAGAAGCTGACGCTAAATAGCAATTTCTGACATGCAAGACCACAGAGGAACAATTATAGACACCCACTGGAGACAACCCCCTCTGCTCTGGACTCTTCTGCCTGAGGGAGAGGCAAAAGACCCCACATTGTTTGAATGAACCAAGTATGGAAAATGCTGTCCCACAGCTCTGACTTTAGCAATGCAAGGTGCTATTGCTCACTGGCTCCTAACCTCCTGGGACTGTCACCTGTTCCCAGGTGGGGAGACCTCCTTCCTTCCCACCTGGGGCAGGCAACAGGGCATGGCAGAGTGATGGCAGCAAGAGCAAGAGGGCAGAGTTCCCCCCAGCATCAAACCCTTTCCAGATAAGATCACAAATGACACATTTTGAAAGGGAGTTAGCTTTCTTTCCTCCAAAACCCCAAATATGAAAAATGGCCATCAGAGGATACAGAGAGTCACAATTCTGGAAGATTCATCCATGGATCATACCCCACTTATCAATTCTTAGGTAGCCCCCAAAGTGCCAATTTGAAATAATTTAAAAAGCAAAGCAACTTGTGACATAAAAGGAGCATTAACTCTAAACAAAAAGTAGAAAGAATCACAAGAAAAAGGAATTAGTTTTGCAACATACACATAACCAATCACGTCAGCGAAGGGTTGTTTGTAGAAAGCTTCATCTGCCACCCTAGACAGCAAGAGGTCCAAAAGGCAGGCAAGCAGGCAGGAAAAAAGAGAGAACATTGAGAAGCAGAAACATCTAAAATCCACAATCGAGGTGCAACTGTGCTCTGAGGAGCTGCTCTCAGGGCTCCTTCCTAACCCCCGTGAGGCTTCCAGCGCTGGAGACTTCAGCAGGACTGGTTTTCCATTGGCCTTCCCACATGGGGATTTCTCCACGAAATTTCTCCACGATAGAATGAGCACTGCCAACTTCATCCCTTTGGCTTACCCCAGCAGCAATGGGCATTTATTAAGCACCCAATCATGGACTAAGCCCTTTCACATACATTACGTTGATTCAGTCCTTTACTAAAACAACCTATGACACTGTTCTCACCCCTGCTGTATAGATGAGGTAACTGAGGCTTAGAGATGAAACAACTTGCTTGGCTACACCACAGTGGCAGCATTCAGGACTCACAACTAAGGCAGCCTGGCCCCAAGTCCAAGGCTCTTTCTACTGTATAGTCATGCTTCTTCCCTGCCTGTGTGTGCCCAGAAAGCCATGCCACCTTCCTGCCTGTCTCAGTAAATATCATGGGGCAGGAATCCTGCCAGACACCAGGTGTGCTAGGACCCAGAGCCAGACTTATCTTGGATTATCCAACTACTGCTTCCCCATATTGGCTGGGTGGGACATATTTTCAGAGTCCTGAAAACATATATGGTCATTTCAAAACCTCAACCTTACAGAAAAAAGCAGCTGGAGATGAGGCCTGGTGGGAAGAACACTGAACTCTGGCCCTGGCTTCTCTTGTTCCTGAATATGGCTCTCTGCTCAAGAAGCTAGTACAGTTTCTGAATATTTCTACACCAGATTCAATTGGCTGTGACAAGGTGTAGCCCAGATTCCAGAACTTCATCCCTTCTTAACTCTCAACATGGCAGGGCTCTCAGACAGGAAGGAGGGGCAGACTGGGTGGAGAAATTTTCATAGCAGAGGCCAGGCTGGCTTTGACTCTCTGTTGCCCTCGAATGACTCCCAGGACTCAGCCAGCCCACTCTTGTCCACTGTGGCTGGGTAGGGAACCTCCCTCATGGAGTCTTACCCTGTCTTTTGTCAAGCTGGCTTGGGGTGGGCGAGGGGAAAGACGTTTTTCAAGGATAATCATGTCTGGTCATTAAACTAAGCTCACATACTTATTTGAAAGTAAATTCTAGTAATTTTAATTTCAGTTAATTTTTAAGCTCACACATGCCCTTCCTTCTTTCCCATTTTGGCTTATACACAGGTAAGTGTTTTGTGGGAATGTAAAGAAAGTAAAAAGAGCAGGCTGATTGTAACTTAAAGTGACTCAGCAGGAAAACAGAGTTGTTTGTGGGCAGAATGAATGGGAGGAAAAGGCAAGGCTGGCTGGCTTGTAAACCCACAATCCTTTCAGTTTACACAAAGGGCTAAACCTGATCAATTTCAACTTGGGTTTCCCTCCACTAGAAGAGAATAGGGGTTTCATGACTCCTGTCAAAGCACCACTAAGACAACAAAAGTTTGAATGTCAGGCTCTTGCTCCTTTGCAGCTAGCCCAAGACCAAAGAGCTCCTCAGTGACAAGCACATCCCCTGTCAAGGTTGTAGGCCCAGAACAAACAGAAAATCAGACACAAACACCAGCAGCCCTCCGCTTATTTATTCTCCACCCAGTAGATGGGGGACCTGAAAGTAGCAATCCTCAGCCAAGGTAGAAGAGGCTCAGGTAGGCTCAGGAGATGGGAGGGAAGAGGAACGCCTAACCTAGGACAAGCTCTGGAGGCATGAAGACAATGCAGAACTTCATTCCATAAACAGCCTCAAAGTGGGCATAGAAAAAAATGTTCGCCATCTCTGAGAACTGTGGGTTCCCCAAACCTTCCCCAGCCTTTAAAGAGCTGACAAGCACAAATGCTACCTGTAATAGGGAAATGTTCTGGGGTTGTTCTTGATGAGCAAACTCATCCAACTGCAGGAGTCAGTCACTGCTCTGGCTGGCTCCTATGAAAAATTCTTTTCCATGGCTGTCACTGAGTAATTCACAGCTCTTGTGCAGTGACATTTAGGCCCCAATTTGGAATAAAAGCAGGGAGATGCAATCTGGGGACTGACAATAGACTACAGACTGTGCAGGGCAAGAATCACGTCCGCCTGCTGCACACCCACCCCCAGCGCAGTGCCAGGCACGATGTACTCCTAGTGCTTTGGTGACCAAGTGATGAGGCAACTAGCAGGCAGGAGGCCTGAGGATGCTCTCACAATAACTGGATGCCCTTCCTGTCCCCAGGTTTCCTCTTTCAAACTTCTCATCTTTCTGCCTTATCTCTCAGGTCCCCTTAACATCCAGCTACTGCAAGAGTCACCCACAGAGAATGATACTCTTACTTGAAATGAGCACCCCATTTTCTTCTCTTTTCTTTTCATTTTTAAGACTGAGTTTCGCTCTGTTGCCCAGCCTGGAGTACAGTGGTGCAATCTCAGCTCAATGGAACCTCCGCTTCCCGGGTCTAGTGATTCTCCTGCCTCAACCTCCCAAGTAGCTGGGATTACAGGCATCTGCCACCACGCCCGGCTGATTTTTTGTATTTTTAGTAGAGACAGGGTTTCACGACATTGGCCAGGCTGGTCTTGAACTCCTGACCTCAAATGATCCACCCACTTAGGCCTCCCAACATGCTGGGATTACAGGTGTGAGCCACTGTGTCAGGCCCCCACTTTCTTTTCTAAAAATATTCACTCTTTACCCATAGACAGATAACAAGGACGAATTACTTTATACGTCTAAATGGGATCTATTCCTTTGAACTCTAAAGCTTAGAATCAAACATGGATGGGGAAGGAGAATAATCAGCAATATAAAAATTTCCAGGGGAGGGTGTAGACTCTTAGAAGAAGTCCCCCAAAGTGACTCTCATATGGCTCCCGCCTCCAACCAGTCCCAAACTCAATGCCTGGAGGAACTAAACTTTTAAGACTGAGCTCCTAAAAACAGGTGTCATTACTCCCTCTGAGAACAAAAGATTCTGTATAGAGAGTTTTCTTTTCTTGACAGTTCAGCAAAACTGACTTGAAAAAATATCTGCAACAGAAAGGTTATTACCAACGTATTCATTATCTAAGTTTGAAAATGTGTGTGTCAAGTTCTTGAAGCATCAGAGACGCTATGCAGGAAGGGTCAGCATGGCTGCAGTACTTCAAAGTCAACTCCGGTGCCAGGGCCACTGGCTAGGGGAGCTCCCAGGGCTCGAGCGGTGCTTGCACACAGTCCTCACCTGGCTTTACCAATCTGAACTTAACACCAGGAAGAAAATCATCTTGAGGGAGCAGAGGACACAGGAGCCTGGACCCGTCAGCACCTCCTACTGACTACAGGCTCAACAGCAGCCCCATGTAGCTTATGGAAGCCACCACCACTGGCAACCCAGCCTGCACACCAGAGAACAGTTCCTGCGCACCAGAGAGCAGTCCCACAGATCTCCACATGGAACCTGACAGGCACTCCTTGAGCGTGCCGTCCCCAGAGGAAGGTGGCCAGGACACGGTCAAGCTGGAATCCAATAAGCTAAAGGGCTGCTAGCGTACAAAAGAGAGTCCAACTGCTCTATCATAGTTGCCTCAACAACGACGCTGGCTGGTAAAGCCGTTAGCTCTCTCTCCTGGCAGATCTCTAACAGAGCTGCTAGAGACAAGGACACTTCATCCAACTTGCTTCCTGCCTCTGCATAGGAACTTGAGGCTCTACCCTAAAAATCAAAAATATCCCCAGGCTTGGTCTGGCCCGTTTATACACTGAGGTGAATGGAGTGACTATTTGGTGAAAGCTGGGCTCTGAACCCAGGAAATGAAACAATCTATCTGCCTGCCCTGAGGGAAGCAATATCACATATGCCTCTCGAGGTTGCTTCCAAGAAGGGCTCCAAGTGCAGGGCATTAAAGCCCAGCTGCTGGTGGGGAGTGATACAAGAATGAAAATGTTTTTCTCCCCACAACTCCTTAACCATCAATAAGTGAGTAAAATCTATTTTGAACAGAGCATTTTTAAGAAGTCAATTCAAGACTTTTTAAGGCACAGATAAGTACCCACAGAGCCCTCAATTCTAAAGGAATTACATTGGAACATCCTTGGCTGCCTAATTACAAAGCACATTTTCCTTCCAATGGACCCCTTCATGAAGTGGCTATCAGAGAGCAGAGCTGTATTTAGGAGACTCAACATGACCAAGTCTATAATCATATCTAAAGTATTCAAATCTGGGTGCACTCATGAAACCCACCTTTCATTTCAGGGTTCCATGAAAAGTAACTTTTCCGTTGGCTGAATCACACACCATTACAGGTGATGCATATTAACCAAACTCTCAGACAGCTAAGGTCACTACAATTGGGATGGCTAAACAACAGAGCAAATTATGCTCACAAGACCCGAGAGATTTGCAACGTGTTTCAAGCACTTTCTTTAAAAACTGCAGACATTTCACACTAAAGGAGGCAGAAGCCAAAAACCTAGACTAGACGCTGAGAATGGATTTGATTCAATTTGGAAAACAAAGTGTGCTACAACCACCATGCACTGACCTGTTGTTTGCTTTTGTTTTCTGTAGCTGCTCGTCCTGTCTCGCATACCACTCTTCTAGCTCCTTTATTGCCTTTTCTTTCCACTCTGCTTCTTGCTTCCGAGAATTGGCATCTTTGAAGGGAGAGAAGAAAAAGACAATACAACTGAGGCTTACTGAATTTATGGTGGGTGCAGGTCCATATTTGTGTGCATACTGGGGGAGAGGAGTAGGGAGGGAAGATAAGCTTCTATTTTTCCTATTTGCACAACCAACTCTGATTTTAGTGCGTCTATTCCTTCCTGATCTTTTCCACAGTCCTATTCCTGGATCCTATTCCTGGTCTTATCCCAGTCCACTGACATCTTAGTGGATCATTAGTTATGTTTTGTCTTGTTTTTGGCAGAGTGAAAAAGAAGGGTGTATGTAGAAATACTGACTTTCAAATATTAACAGGAAAAAAGCCTCTGGGCACCAACAGGGAAAAAAAACATAATTGATTCTTTACCAATGCTGCCAATATTAGTTCAGAGTAGGGTATTCATCTTAGATAATCTTTTTAACTCTTCTCACAAACTAGTCCATATTCCAAGTTTGACAATAGTTTTCTGGAACACAAGATGGCACTCTCGTAACTAAATATAGTCGAAGTACTTTTGTGAAGCAGGGAGCTATTAGAACAATTACCAAAAGCAGAGATGATTGAGGAACCAGAAAATGATAAAACACAGAATATTAGCACTGGAGAGGACCATAAAGCATTTACTCCTACTTAGTCTGCAGAGTGCGTTTGTGGCAGAGGCAGGGTAGAGCTAAAAAAGAAACTCCACTGGAGAGAAGTGCAGAGGGTAGAGGTATGGGATCATTGTTAACAGCCAAAAGGTTCTAGAAATAACAGCAAGAAAATGCACACCTAGCAGGTTTGCCTAGATTGGATTCTCAAACATAAAACATGAAGTTTCTGAGAACTAAATATAGTTTTCCCTAAGACACTGAGCTGAAGAGGCACACATCAGCAGATAGCTGGGCACAGTGGCTGACGCCTATAATCCCAGCACTTTGGGAAGCCAAGGTGGGTGGATCACCTGAGGTTGGGAGTTCAAGACCAGCCTGACCAACATGGAGAAGCCCCGTCTCTACTAAAAATACAAAAAATTAGCGAGGCGTGGTGGCACATGCCTGAAATCTCAGCTACTCAAGAGGCTGGGACAGAAGAATCACTTGAACCTGGGAGGCAGAGGTTATGGTGAGGCCAGATCACACCACTGCACTCCAGCCTGGGCAACAAGAGCGAAATTCTGTCTCAAAGAGACATACATCAGTACGTAGTGGGAGTTCAAGAAACACATGCTGCCTGGTCATGGTAGCTCATGTCTATAATCCCAGCACTTTGGGAGGCTGAGGCAGGTGGATAATCTGAGGTCATGAGTTCAAGACCAGCCTGGCCAACATGGTGAAATCCTGTCTCTACTAAAAATACAAAACATTCACTAGATGTGGTGGCACATGCCTGTAATCCTAGCTACTCAGCAGGCTGACACACACAGAATTGCTTGAATCTGGGAGGCAGAGGTTGCAGTGAGCTGAGATCATGCCACTACACTTCGGCCTAGGCAACAAAGTAAGACTCAAAGAAAAGAAAAGAAATACATGTCATAACTACTGAGGCAGCTGACACTTAGAGTTAACCTGATACTTCACTTTAAACAAGTTCTTCTGGACATCCTGTCTGTCTGGCAGGTGTTTTATAGATATCTCATTCAATCTTTACAACAAGCCCAACAAGGTAAACTCTGATCCCATTTTCAGCAGTGAAAAAAACTAAAGCTCAGGAAGTTTGCGTGAAACTTCATAAAGGTTATTGTAAGTGACAGATCCAAGATTCAAATCCAGATCTGGCTCTAACGCTTGCACTTTGTTTACCTCATTATGCTTCCTCCAAAGGGAGGGACAGAAAGGGAGGCAAGCCTAGAAATAATCATAAGATGTGACTGGAAAGTGGCCACCAGTGATGTGAACAGAGTTTCAAAAGAACAGCACAAGAGCCGAAACTATAATTAGTGTCTCTGAGGAGAGTAGAAAGCAGTAGTGGTGTCAAGTAACTACTAGAAGGGATGAAAAATGAAGACAATTTTTAGGGCCTTTGCAAGAAAGGTCTTAGAGTAACAACTAGCGAAAGACTGTGTGTAACTCTAAGGAAAAGCCTAATAGCAGCTAGAAGGTCCCCCAAGTCTGAGGTTAGAAAGAATGTTCATCTTGGTATCTAATTTGTCAGAAGGTGATCTATCGTTCAGAAGAAGAATCATTTTCTCAGATTTTTTTACTGATGACTCTAAAGTATATACAGTATAATATATTTTTGTTTTGTTTGAGACAGGGTCTCACTCTGTAGCCCAGGCTGTAGTGTGGTGGTGCTATCACAGCTCACTGCAGCCTCAATCTCCCAGGCTCAAGTGATCCTCCCACCTCAAATCTCCTAAGTAGCTGGGACCACAGGCATGCACCACCACCCCCAGCTATTTTTTTTTTTTTTTTTGTAGAAATGGGGTCTCACTATGGTGCCCCAGCTGGTCCTCAACTCCTGAGCTCAAGTGATCCTCCTACCTCAGTCTCCTAAAGTACTGGGATTACAAACATGAGCTACCATGCCCAGCCTCTACAATAAACCTCTAACTTAATGTGTCTATCCATGGCATGAAGTATGTATGTGGAATGGAAGATGCTATGCTGCAATGAGAAGCTGTGGGCTAGAAGTGCCAGGTGGCAATACCTAATTTAAATTGTAAGGTCCCCTTTTCAATCGTGGTGAAATTACTTACAAATAATTACCTTTTGATTGGACAGTATTTTTTTTCAATGTATTTTAATGATCATTTAATATTTATTATACATTAGGACTAAAATATAAAAATTTATCTCTAAAAAATTAATTTAAATAAAAATGGTGACCTGCTGAACAGACTGTGGTTACTGCATAAATCAGTACATTTAAATTAATCTTCTGGCTTTTGCAGCTTTAGTGCCACTGCAATACTAATTTAGAATTCTTCCCCTCATAGGATGAAGAGGAAGAGTCCCGTTAGAGAACACCTTCTGGCCATCCTCATTACTGGTCACAGAAAAGAAAATGACTTGAGAATGTAGCCAGCAGCTAGGCTGAAAACCACTGGCACTGGTTCTCTTATTTTTAGCATCATGTGCTTTCTCACAGTTTTTGCAAGGAAAAAAGGTGAAACTGAAGGAACACCTTGTTCATGAATCAAGTGACTTCAATTCCATTGGAATGCAGGGCCAAATGTTTTACTTCTCTCAAAAAAGCACTTTAAGAAAACGGCTCATAAGCTTATTCTCCAAGTACCCAATTTCATAATTGAAAAATTAAATCTCTCCAGACACCAAAGTATACTCTCTCCATGGAGAAGAAAAACCGCTAAAGCTTGGGAAAACAGAAAAGATAAAGTTGGGTTCTATAACATGAAAAATACTCCAGTGGTACTAAGATCAGCTAAATCTTGCCTCTAAGCCTACTCAAGAAACACAAAGAACAAGCAAGGACCAAAGCTGTTAGGACGAATTTTCCTACAGCTTCACTGTCCAATCTTCCTACAGCTCCACTGTTCAATATTAATATGGTAGCTACTAGCTACATGTGGCTACTTCAATGTAAATTTATTAAAATTAAAGAAAATTTAAAATTCAGTTCCTAAGTCACACTTGAAATGTGAAGCCACATTTCAAGTACTTAACAGTTACATGTGGTTAGTGGCTACCATACTAGACAGCACAAATACAGAATATTTCCACCTCAAAAATTACTGCTGAATGGTGCTATAAAGGTTCAAAATTTTTTTTTTTTTTTTTTTTTGAGACAGTCTCTCTCCGTTGCCAGGCGCCAGGCTGGAGTGCAGTGGTGCCATCGCAGCTCACTGCAACCTCTACCTCCCGGGTTCAAGCAATTCTCCTGCCTCAGCCTCCCGAGTAGCTGGGACTACAGGCGCGCGCCACCAGGCCCAGCTAATTTTTGTGTTTTTAGTAGAGACGGGGTTTCACCATGTTGGCCAGGATGGTCTTGATCTCTTGACCTTGTGATCTGCTGCCTGCCTCAGCCTCCCAAACTGCTGGGATTACAGGCATGAGCCACAGCACCCGGCCGTAAAGGTTCAAATATTAAGTGTACTCTTTGTTCTGAAAGCCACCTAAATTGGACTAGAGAGATAAAAGGACTAGAGAGAGAAACGATTTGGCACTAATTGGCTCTGTCATCTGAGTCACGTCCCTTCCTATTTCTGGGTGTCAGTTATCCCATCTGAAAAATAAGGACTCATGTTTTCACTAGTTCAACAGTTCTCAAGAGGGATAATACTGCTGACACTGTGCTTACAAAGGAGAATGTCATTACTTCTAGGAGGTGTACATTGAAACATCTAGACATGAAGTATATGGTGTCTTTATCTTACAGTAGGTCAGCCAAAACAATTTGTGTATGTGTGTGTATGTATAGAACACATAATTTAAGATAACCCAATATGGTGAAATACTAATTACTGAATCTGGGGATGTATACATTTATTTTCCTCTTCTGTAAAGTTGAGAAAAGATGAATCTTAAAATCAGCTGATTAAAAAAAAGAAAAAGAAAAAACAGGCCGGTTGTGGTCGCTCACGCCTGTAATCCAAGCACTTTGGAGGCCAAGGCAGGCGGATCACCTGAGGTCGGGAGTTCAAGACCAGCCCAACCAACATGGTGAAATCCCATCTTGAAAAAAAAAAAAAAAAAAAAAGAAAAAAGAAAAGACCACAGTGTGGATTATATCCTCATACTCTGCATATTTCTCCAATCCATCATGTATAGACACAAGTCTCCCCGATCACAAACCAACAGGTGACACTCCGTGTACACAACTCTTTATCAAAGGCCGGGCTGTGTGACTAGATGGCCGTACACATTAAATGTTTACAAAGCAATGTGGCTTATGGGGATGGGGAGTGACTCTGAAGCAAGGCAGATGCCAGCTGAAATTGTGACTCATACCATTTCTTAGCTGAGTATTCCAAATATTTATTCTACCTCTGCTCCACTTTCTTCACCTGTAAAATTGTAAAACTTACCTTACAGAGATATTAAGGTAGGAAAAACAAATTGTACATTTTTCCTAATATATCTCATTTTCCTGTTACCTTAAATTCATTCAGCTTTCAAATGAAAAATGGACCATAGTCCATGGATGTGTGAAACCTGAATCCTTCGAGTTTACAAAGCACTCTATAAACACCACCTGAGGTTACTCTTGAGGTCGACAACACTCATTTTACTTCAAAGACAATGACACAAGCAAGACTCTGAAAAGTTTGAGAATAGCCAGGCGCGGTGGCTCAAGCCTGTAATCCCAGCACTTTGGGAGGCCGAGGCGGGTGGATCACGAGGTCAAGAGATCGAGACCATCCTGGTCAACATGGTGAAACCCTGTCTCTACTAAAAATACAAAAAATCAGCTGGGCATGGTGGCGCGTGCCTGTAATCCCAGCTACTCAGGAGGCTGAGGCAGGAGAATTGCCTGAACCCAGGAGGCGGAGGTTGCGGTGAGCCGAGATCGCGCCATTGCACTCCAGCCTGGGTAACATGAGTGAAACTCCGCCTCAACCTCCTGAGTAGCTGAAAAGGTTTGAGAATCAAGAGCCCACAGCTAGTAAGTTCAGGCTGGAATCTAGTCTTTCACTCCAAGCCCAGGGCTCTTGTCACAGCATCTCTATGCTCTTCCTGTGAGAGGATCTTGGGGCTCTCTAGGCTACCTTATTCCTCACGGAATGGCCTGTGATTGGGCATCTCTGTGCAGGTAGCCTTGTAACCTTCAGGCTGAGAAAGTTATCCTCCCAAAGACCAGACAAGGACACTGGCTAATTTGAGCTAAAAAGGGATAAAAGTAGAGTGTAGGTCAACTACTCCACTGAAAATAGACACCCAAAGGCAGAAATGGATTCCTTACCAAGAGCTTCCAAGCGTTCCATTTGCTCTTCTCTCCATTTACGGATACTTTCAGGCTCTGACTGCAGTCGATCCACTTGTGAAATAGCTGCATAACTGTCTGTTGGACCATTACTTTCCTTAACACAAAACACAATTGTGCTCTATTAGTACCAAGAATTCCTTCCTGAAATGTACTTCATCCAAGTTAGAAACCTTGGTTCTAACAACAATGGTGGCTATTGTAAAATGGTAAAGAACTACCTTAAAAGCAACAACATAGGCCGAGCACAATGACTCGTTCCTGCAGTTCCAGCACTTTGGGAGGCCTGGGTGGGTGGATCATGTAAGGTCAGCCTGGTCAACATAGTGAAACCCATCTCTACTAAAAATACAAAAATTAACTGGGCAGTAGTGGCATGTACCTGTAATCCTAGCTACCCAGGAGGCTGAGGCAGGAGAATTGCTTGAACCCGGGAGGCAGAGGTTGCAGTGAGCCAAGGCTGTACCACTGCACTCCAGAGGTGACAGAATGAGACTCCCTCCCCCCAACCAAAAAAACAAACAAACAAACAAACAAAAACAACATAGGCCAGGCATGGTGGCTCGTGCCTGTAATCCCAGCACTTTGGGAGCCTGAGGCAGCGGGATCCCTTGAATCCAGGAGTTCAAGACCCGCCTGACCAACATGGCGTAACCCCATTTCTACTAAAAATACAAAAAATTAGCCAGGTGTGGTGGCCAGCACCTGTAATTCCAGCTACTTGGGAGGCTGAGGCAGAAGAATCACTTGAACCCAGGAGGTGGAGGTTGCAGTGGGATGAGATCGCACCACTGCACTACACCCCGGGCGACAGAATGAGACTCCGTTTCAAAAAAAAAAAAAAACAAAAAAAACCCTCAACTGTTAATCTTTAGAGAATTATTCCATACGCCACTCACTAAACTAAGGAATATTAGCAGGTTAACCTAACGAGACTATAAACAAAGATGGAAGGAGAATTATTTAAAGTGTTAGTATTCACTTACTGCACTTAACACAGTGTCATTTGAAGGGTGATTTCTTTTTTTTTTTTTTTGAGACAGAGTCTCGCTCTGTCGCCAGGCACCAGGCTCACTGCAACCTCTGCCTTGCAGGTTCAAGCAATTCTCCTGCCTCAGCCTCCCGAGTAACTGGGACTACAGGTGCGCGCTACCACGCCTAGCTAATTTTTGTATTTTAGTGGAGATGGGGTTTCACTATGTTGGCCAGGATGGTCTTGATCTCTTGACCTTGTGATTCACCTGCCTTGGCCTCTCAAAGTGCTGGGATTACAGGCGTAAGCCACTGCACCCGGCGAAGGGTGATTTCTTGAGAAATAAGGTGATAACATGAGGGCCAGGTAAATAACATTTTAAAACAGTTCTCTTTTTAACAGTGCTACCTCTCTTTAAACCCTTTCACTTTGGCAGATAACATACCAGCCACTAACACATCCAGGAAAGTCAAAGAACTGGGGTTTCTTTCCAGGTCAGTCAATTAAAATACAGGAAAGGAAGACTCAATCACTATCAATGAACATAATCAGAGTACTCCGTACCTGGTAGTATTCGCCATTCATTACCCCATCAACAGCATCTGCAAGACATAAGATTTTGGTCTGTCAATCAAGACTGGTCAAACATTGGACCAAAGGGTTGTACAGTAGAATAGAGTATTATAAGCTGTATGAACCCTGAACTAGTAAATGCTATCCCTGTGGTAGGTGCTATATACAACAAAACAATAAAACCAAGATGCGCTTATATACAAATTTCACCAAAATGTGGACACATCTGTCCTCAAGCTCCCAAGTCCAAAAGCTTTTAAGATTCAGTTTTCTAGTTTACAGTGGTAACAAATGGAAGACTGCCAGAAGAGTCTCAAGAGAACAACAGTATTTCTCTATGAAAATTCTGCAGAAGGGGGGGAAAAAAAGTATGGCCTGGAGTCACCCCATAGTGAGCAGAAACATGCAGCTTCATTTTTGAGACAGTGTTGCTCTGTCACCCAGGCTGAAGCACAGTGGCCCGATCACGGCTTACTGTAGCCTCAATCTTCTAGGCTCAAGCGATCCTCCCGCCTCAGTCCCCCAGGAGCTGGGACTACAGGCATGTGCCACCATGCCTGGCTCATTTTTCTATTTTTCTTAGAGAGCGGGTTTTGCCATGCTGCCCAGGCTGCTCTCAAATCCCTGGACTCAAGTGATTCACCTGCCTGGGCCTCCCAAAGTGCTGGGATTACAGGCATGAGCCACTGCGCCTGGCCATAACCCAGGAACTCTACACCAAGGAACTTATTACAGAGGTGAAACAGAATGTGCTCCCCCCACACTTTTTATTAGTTTGGTAAACTTCATATTTCCAAAACTCTACAGAATGCTTAAAAAATTATATAGGTAGGTGGCACATAGCTTAAAGTAGTAAAATGTATTACCTCCGTAATAAATTCCTTGGTGTAGAATTGCTGGGTTACAGCCGGGTGCAGTGGCTCACGCCTATAATCCCAGCACTTTGGAAGGCTCAGGTGGACTGATCACCTGAGGTCAGGAGTTCCAGACGTGCCTGGCCAACATGGTGAAACCCTGTTTACTAAAAACACAATTAGCCAGGGTGGTGGCACGGGCCTGTAATCCCAGCTCCTCAGGAGGCTGAAGCAGGAAAATAGCTTGAACCCGGCAGGCAGAGGTTGCAGTGAGCCAAGAATGCGCCACTGCACTCCAGCCTGGGCCACAGAGCGACTCCATCTCAAAAAAATAAATAATAAAAAAAGAATTGCTGGATCACAAGAAATGTATGTTATTTATTTATTTTGATGCAGAGTCTTTCTCCGTCACCCAGGTTGGAATGCAGTGCTGCGATCTTGGCTCACTGCAATCTCAGTATCTCTGGAATAGAAGAGACTTTGATCACTACTCCATACAAAAAAACAAGAAGCAATCCTCATCCCACATCTTCAAAATCACATGCGGTCTGTCTGAAGACTCCTCCAGACCCACTAGCATCTGCTTTCCTCTTTATTAGTTACTGTATTACTGCACTAACATTCTTACATGAATCAACAACTAGCTCAAGTCAAGGGATCCTCTATTGCCGTGGAAACATGCAGAAAGGATATCTTGACTTACTAGGACAACCAAACTAAGCCACATGATGCTTCAGAAGGAAACTTTCTAGGGCCTTTCAGGAATTCCAGACAGAAAAAGGGTCATGCATCCGAGTCACGGCACCAAAAAAAAAAAAAAGTAAAAGGGCCACATTAAATTTTTAAAAGCGAAAGACTCTGTCCCAAACCCACCTTCCACTTTCCACATTCCAGAAACATTTGAAGTCAAGCAGACCTAGGTTTGAAGCTGCAGTTGAGCTATTTATTGCCTTGCTATCTTAGGGACACTGCTGAACTTCCACATTGATATCCATTTTCATATGAAATATGACACTACCAGTTAACCCATGGAGCTATTACCAGGATCTGAAAGTGTACCTGGTACACAGCAAATGTGCAGTATAATTAACTATCATGCATGAGATTTCCCTAAACTTCCCTCCACCACTGTTACCAATAAAATTACTTCTCCTGAAAGCTTCCCTTTAATTCACCTACAACTCTTTTTTCTCCTACAAGAAATAATTTGTCAAAAACAAAATGAATAGGCGGGGCGCAGTGGCTCACGCCTATAATCCTAACATTTTGGGAGGCCGAGGCAGGCAGATCACTTGAGGTCAGGAATTCAAAACCAGCCTGGCCAACATGGTAAAACCCCGTCTCTAGTAAAGATACAAAAATTAGCTGAACATGGTGGCGCACACCTGTAATACCAGCTACTCAGGAGGCTGAGGCAGGAGAATTGCCTGAACCCACGAGGTGGACGTTGCAGTGAACAGAGGTAGCACCACTGCACTCCAGCCTGGGCAACAGAGCAAGACTCTGTCTCAAAAACAAAAATGAAAACAAATCATAATAGTGCCTCACTGCCATACTCTCTGTGTGGCTTGTCTCTCCTCTTCTCTTCCCCCACTCAGCCCTCATGATTGAGCTTTTCAACAGCTCCACTTGTGCTGCCTCCTTCATGACCACCTGTTCTTCTCAATATCCCCCTCTCAAGTAACTTAGCCCAGCTGGTTACTTCCTGACTCTAAACCTATGTCTCTTCTCTGGATCTCTTTAACAACCAAGAGAGTCATCCAAAGCTCAGCCCTAACCCCTCTGGTTTTTGCCTGTGCCCATCCTCCATGGGAGTTTTCCACAAGGCTAGGGCTGGTTTATTTTCCTCTCATAGGTGACTGTATTTATCTCTGTATGACATCAGAAAGACAGCTCCCACCTAAAACCTCTCAATTTCCTCAGTATACTTCAAAGCCTAAATGCCTTGTAACTCATTTCTCTCACTAACAGTAGCTGGAATTCACTGGATACTTACTATATAACGGTAAGCACTTTATAGACACTTTTTAATGTAATCCTAAAGATGCCACATAGCATTATAAATTATATTATGCAACTTTTACAAAGGAGAAAAGTGAGGCCAGACTGGTGGCAGTTATATACATTTTCTGAAACCACAAAGCTAAACTCACACTCAAGCAGCTTAGGATAGCATAGAATCTTAACCACTAGACCATATCTTTAAAAAAAAAAAAAAAAAAAAGGAAAAAGAAAACTAAGAGAGAAAAAGTGTCCAATTCTGTAATCCCCAAAGGAAATGCTGACCACTGCATATTACCAACCTCAATTACACTGTCAGGAATCTGGCTTTAAGTCAACAAATGCTTAGTTCACCGAGAAAGTCCTTCCTAGGAACTAAGTCAGCAACCATTTCTTTCCTTCCTTTTGCTGAAGCCTCAATGCACAAAGAACCTAAGTATCCAACTCTGTTCTCTCCCTTTTACTTTCCCTAACTGCCCGTCGCCAAGATCTGTCAGTTCTACATAGGACCATTGGATCTGACATTTCTGCCCATTTCTTTGTCAAATGTGAGCATCTACTACATGCCAGACACACTTGACAGATAGTGGGGATAAAACAGTAACACTGTCCTTGAATCAGGACAATCTTCCAACTATGGATCTCAGGTCCTGCTTCTTCCAAATCTGTTCTACGTGGGACAGCCACAACTGCCTTTTATCACACCACACCCCTGCTAAAACAACTAAACACTGCAACAGAATGTGGTACATTCTAAGAGTGGGTAGACTCGGGGCTCAGCTATTAACTCGTGCTTTTTTAAGCCAGTCACTTCTCTCTAGGATTCAGTTTCTGTTGTACTAAATGAGGAAGGTCACTGAGGATCTAAGAAGACAATTTTAAAATTCTCAGACAAATGTTAAAGACCACCCAATGAAAAAATATCTCCTAATCATTTAAGGCCAACTTCATCTTGCAATCACAGCCCAGTTCAGTTCAACTACTTGCTATAAGTTGCATATTCAGGCATATTATATATTCCCTTTAAGTTCTTATTGGGGGACTGATTTACTTAGGAAGCAACATGGTGCCGTCAAAAACTCAGAGGCTGCAAACTAGCAGCACCCCCCGCCCCCCGCCCCATATCCCTCAAAAGTTTCTGCTTGGCTGGCATAGTAACTTGAGACTGCTGGGTCTAAATCCCTTTACATAGAGCACTACTCTACTGCACCAAAGCCTCAGTCTCCAACACTTCTACTGTCTCATGTCAAGCCAGCTTCTCTTGTGTCTGTTACCCAACTGGCCCCTTAAGGTTTGAATTTGGGGTAGTATAGACTCCACTCCTATGTGCCCCAGTAGTGCCCTATTCTCCCTTAGTTGGAATTTTTTAAGTGAATGAAAAGCCGTATCTCATTTCTTCTGGCTAAATTTCCTACTTCTCTGCAATTAAATAGGTCTTTTCCACTCATGATCCTAAGCATCACACACAGGAAAGGCATCCAAAGGTCAAACTGTCATCCTACCTGCCCCGTTTTTACTTGCGTTTGGCTGAGAACATTCTCTATTCACCTCTTCATCCCTCCCTGATTGGTTTAGGCTAATCTTGGGTTTAGGCTAATCTTGGACAATACTACCTACCAAAGCTGTTCCCAGAGGAACAGCTCCAGAAGTCCTGAGTGTAAATCAATCGCTCAACGATAGTAAACTTCCCCGCTTGGCAGTTCTTTCTCCAGACCCAGACCATCTTTCTTGAGTTCCCTACTCAATGCTTGCTCCTCGTAATCCAAAACTCTGTACACCTGAAGAGCTTAAATGTTGAACTGCAATGCTACTTTTGTTTGTATCTCTCAAAAACGGTATTCCCATTCTTATTTTTTTTCTACCCTGCTTTTCTAATAACTGGAGTTCCCTGCTCGGCTCAGACTTCCTTTGAAGTCTGAACAAACTGCGCCAATGCGGTTGCTTCAGAGACCGGACTAAAGGCACAGCAAGTGCTTAATGAAAAGTTGCTGAAATGAACGGACTTCTTCCGGCTCCGGAGCCTGCCACTCTATACTTGCTTTCTCGCTCCACCCGCGCGCAGAAGCACTCACACACTGAGAACCGAACAGGCTTCTCGAGCCTAGGTTTCTGCATGACTGGGCCAGGGTCTCGTTTCTTTTTGCACTGCTCCGTAACCTCCTAGTTCAGTAAGCAACACGAGTCACACAGAAGCTCTCGGACCCACTCTGGGCCGAGTTTCCAGACAAGTCCTCTCGCCCCAAACGCGCCCGCATTCTCACCCGGACCTCCCGGCGGCTCGCCGTGTGGCTGGGGCCCCGGGGCGCCGCCGTCCAGGATGGCGAAGGCCTCGTCGTTCTCGATGCCCGCAATCTCGCTCTCCTGCTGAGCCAAGAAGGCCGCAGCCGGGTCTTCCTCGCCGGCGCCGGCCACTCCGTTCCCCAGCGCGGGACCGCCAGGGGCGCCGGCAGGGGCGCCGAATGGATCCAGCTCAGCCATGGCGGGCAATTCAACGGCACGGACACCAACGGTGAGAGACAAACCAACCAACCCACCGACACCACGTCCGGCAGCCGCCGCTGTGGTGGCAACTGGCTGAGGAGGACAAGCGGGAGGAGGGAGAAGGGGGAAGCGGAAGCCCTACCCGTGTATCCGGTCGGCCTAGGCAGTGTTGGAGAGCCGAAAAGGGAACAGCCAATCAGAGGACAGTAATGGTTCAGAAGCTACCCAATCAGCAAGTGGAGGGGCGGGCCCCCGAAGAAAACTCGTGACTGGGGCAGCGCGGGAGGTGAGCGAGGTGAGTCGCGCGAGCCCCCAGGAGGCGGAAGTGCAGCCTGACAGGGCAATAGTTCCCGGCCTGCTGAAGCTGGACTGACCCGACTGCCATCCCTGAAGGGAGTCTAGTGCTGCACGGGGAGGCGAGGTGAAGTTAGGGCGACGACGATTGGCCGATTACTGAAGAGGCATGCAGCTTAGGCTTTCTGAACCTCAGTTTCCTCATTTGTAAAACGGGGACAAGAATCCTGCTCTTGCCCCCGCTCGCGGGATTATTAGAAGAATGAAAACGGGCCGGGCGCGGTGGCTCAAGCCTGTAATCCCAGCACTTTGGGAGGCCGAGGCGGGTGGATCACGAGGTCAAGAGATCGAGACCATCCTGGTCAACATGGTGAAACCCCGTCTCTACTAAAAATACAAAAAATTAGCTGGGCATGGTGGTGCGTGCCTGTAATCCCAGCTACTCAGGA